CATAGCATATCAAAGAGATGGTCCGATGATTTCCGCATTCCATTGGGTCACCTCTCTTTGGAATGGGCACAAATATGGATCTCTTCCAATCAGTCGGCCAGATAGCTGTCTTCAAATTTCTTGGCAGAGATGAGTGAGTGCTTCCTGTGCTGCCTCACTTTCTTGAAAGATTTCAGTTTTTATTCCATCAATTCCTTGGTGCCTTGTTCTTTTCAAATTCCTTCAGTATCACTGGCTCTTGATCATATGCTACTTCTTGAAACAGTTGAACATTAACCATTTCCTTTTGGTACAGTGACTCTGTGTATTCCTTCCATCTTCTTTTGACGCATTCTACATCATTCAATAGTTTGCCCAGATAATCCTTCAATAATGAAAGTCAAGGCTTGAATTTTTTTCTTCAGTTCCCGCAGCTTGAGAAATGCTGAGTTTTGGTTTTCTGATTCCAGATCATTGCACATTTTTTTGTAATATTTGACTTTATCTTCTTGAGCTAACATTTGGAATTTTCTGTTCAGCTCTTGTACCTCCTCATATTTTCATAGTCTTTTCTAATAACCAAGTTGCATGGAGATGTAAAAAGTTGCTGTCTGATAAAAGATGATAGTCATGGTAATCAGAAAGTGGAAAGAATTGAAAAAAAAAAAATAATAAAAGCATGTACATAATGTCTAGAGCAGCTTTTTTGTAATAGTCCAAAACTGCAGCTTTATTTGCAAGAGACAAAACTTAAAGTAATTCACATACCCATCAACAGGTGAATGGATAAGCAAATTGCAGCACATTTGTACAATGTAATAACATTCAGTAATAAAAAAGGAAAAGAACTATTGATACATACAATAAAATAGATAAATAAATATCTAAAAATTAGGTTCATTTCTTTACACTAAAAAGAGAGCTCTGAAAAGAAAACCAGAGGAAAAAATACCATTTACAATAGTTATTGCTGTTAAGTGCTGTCAAGTTGGTTACAATTCACAGTGACCCTATATAGGGTTTCTCAGGACAGGCTGGCGAGCTTTGACTGCTAACCTTGTGGTTCAAACTGACCTTGCAGTCCAGCATATTAGCCCAAATAGTTACCCCAAAAATTAAACACTTATGAATAAATTTAACCACAGAAACAAAAGACCTGTACAAAGACAATTACAAAACATTAGTATAAAAACAAAAAGATACCTACAAAAATGGAAGAATATACTACGCTCACAGACAGAAAGACTTAAAATTGTGAAAATGTTAACACTGCATTATATAGCTATAATGCAATCCCAATCCAGATCCCAATATCATTTTTTAAAAATATGGAAAAGTTAGTCACTACCTTTATACGGAAAGGAAAGAAAAATCAGAAAAACAAAGTGTTACTAAAAAAGAAGAACAAAGTAGGAGACCTCTCACCTCCTGATCTCAAAACCTACTACCAAGTCACAGTAGTCAAAACAGTCTGGTACTTGTACAATGAAAGGCACATAGATCAGTAGAACAGAACTGAGAACCCAAAAGTAAATCCATTCACCTATGATCAGTTGATCTTCGACAAAAGACCAAAATGTATTAAGTGGGGAAGAGACAGTCTCTTCAACAAACAGTGCTGGAAAACTGGAAATCCATTTGCAGAAGAGTAAAACAGGACCCATATCTCACACCATATGCAAAAATGAACTCAACAAGGATTAAAGATCTAAATGTGAAACATGGAACTATAAAGATCATCTATGAAAAAATAGGGGTAACTTAGGGGCTTTGATACATAGATAAATACACTATCAAATATAACTGAAAACACACAAACAACAGAAAACAAAATAAATGACTGGAAACTCCTGAAAAGTAGGTATTTTTGTGTGTGTGCATCAAAAGATTTCTCTAAAAGAGTAAAAGGAGAACCTACAGATGGGGTAAAATTTTGGCAATGACATATCAAACAAGGGACTACTT